TTCAAAAATGATTCCTATTTAAATGAAAAACAAAGTAAAAGCAGGAATATTTGGACATTCCCTTCTTGAGTTTGGCAGGTTGGGTCCCTTTTTTATTCTTTGGTTGAGCTTTTTAGGCTGCACTGCTTGTTTTTAAGCAAAAAAAAAAAAATTTACTTGGAACTTGGTAGAAAATTTTTGGCTAGTCTGGCTGCTTTTTGTGGAGAGGGATTTCTTTCCCCCTGCCTTTACTACCCAGAACAGCCAGTTTCTGAAGCATCCTGGAAGGGAGGACACGTCACTTCGGATAGGTGTGAGCCACACGACTGATTTTGTATGGTCCCACCAGCTAATTGAGAGGAAAGTCTGGAACATTCAGCTAATTGCTTACAACCATCAATCCCATTTTCATAATAAGCATGCTATCAGATTGTGTAGATTAGCAGATTAGCTAAGGCTTTGTGAACTCTGAAGAAGCATTTGTTTAAAACATGAGCAGCTGCTGGGCCAGATGGCAAAGTCCTGCCCCGCAGCAGGCATGTTACCAGAAAGACGGATAAGTGCATGGAGAAAGTGCTGTCTCTCCTCAGTCACTGTGGCACGCTGAGCTTCAAGGAGCATAGGCATGAGTAAGAACTGTATATAAAAGCCAGCAATTCATGTTGACTTGGACGGCCCATCCCATCACTGCTGATTAACTTTGCAGAGTTAGTTTAACGTGCTGCGGACTAGCTGAACTCGGCCATAGGAAAGCTCTGCTTGGAGACCTGCTCCTCAGCTCAACAGCTTTTAACACTTATGTGCTGGCATGGTCGGGATATCTGCAGAGAGGCAATTCTCACAGTGGTGGCTGCACCAAGAAATGCGGTGATCTGTTGAAACACTTACAGCCTGTCCTGCTATGATCAAGCCTTAAAACTTCCCACAAACTGGTTATTCAGGCCTGCTGCTTCACCCCTTGCCTTTCAATAGCATTTTGTTCCGTGACTGTCATAAACACTGATATAAAAGAGCCAAAGGTCTAGCCTTCTATTTACACTAGATACTTCCTTCTGTTAACAGTGGCTTTCACGTCATCAGCTTAGTTTTGGAAAGCTGACTGCTGAGTTTCCCATCCTGGTTCTCTAGTGGCAGCTATGGTTCCCTTAGCTTGTATAAGGATTACCTCTGCACAATGTATTTGCCAGTTATAGAGGACAAACTTTTTTTGCAATATAGAGGACAACTTTTTTTTGCTATCTTACTTGCTTTGCAAATCTATCTCCTCATGCCTGGAAGGAAATCAATATGAACAAGTCATCACCTTGTTCCCTTCAAACTTTATGTCCAAACATCCACTAAGAAAAAAGTCCACAGCGAAGGAGCTAGCATGACGGGAGTCCTCTGCCTCCTCACCAGTCTGTTTTGCCTAAGAACCATGGAGTTTTAAATGATTTAGCTTTGATCTAATACAAAAAGGAAAAGTTACAAAAACCCTGAAATCTTCCACAAGCTGGAGATAGTGTTTCCCCAGTACAGAAATACCATAAAGCTCTGCCTTCTCCAATAGTGCCAGGTTTTGCAGCCTTCATTAGTGTATCTTCTTAATGTAGTCATGCTTCATTAGTGTATCATTCTGGGGAGAATTTATATTACACCAGCAGCGTTAATGAGAAACCATTCCGGCAAACATGAAAAACTTCCAGTACTTTGCAGGAGAGCAGGACAGTGGCAGAAGAGCAGATATTATTGCTAAAGCCATACATATAATGGGAAATTGCAACCCTGAGAGATCAAATGATCTGGTTATAGCTTCACTGAAGATCAGTGACCAAGCTGGGATTTGAGCCTATAACATAAAAATCTCAGTTTAATACTTCAGTCTGAAATTGAGGACCTGTCCATTATTGCTCAGAATAAGAACTAAGAATGCTCAGAATAAGAACTAAGTCTATAAAGTAATTCTTCAAGTTTTATATACATCTTCAGAATGGGAAGGAATCAACAGAATGTCAAATAGTAGTTAGAAATGTTGTCCATGTTGATAGGGGACGTAATGCATCACTTGAGCCAATATTGTAGTGTGGTAAAATCTTGTAAATCTTCTAAATTTGCGGTGCTTTGCACTTCCCAGGCATCCAGTGCAGAACTACTATAAGGAAGATTTGTGTATCAGACCACATGTTTGTATTTGTGCCTCAAAAAGTAGCTTGAGCAGCAAAAAACAGAAAAACCTCTGTGGCAAATGAGATTATCTAAAGTCAGGAAGATTTTTTTTAAAAAATCATGAATTTCTAGCAAGATATGAACAATTGCACTGTGCTAGACTCCAGAGTTTGAGACCTATTAAAAACACTTTTATTTTGTTTTGTTTTTTTAAATCAGCCAAGTGATAAAAATAAACTTTGCTTTAAGAGAGCTGCTTTTTAGTCTGCTTTCGCTGAAGTGGAAGCGATGCATGATGACCTCCTGAGTGGAAGACCTCAGTGGAGGACTGATGGAAGATTACCTCTGTGTGCAAGCACACAACAGTAGTCTCTGGCAACAGAGAAAAACACATTGGATAGGATTGCCAGATTTGCTGTCTTTCTTGTGTGTTTTAGTTTATTTGTTTATTTAGTATAACATTTGGCCTGGAGACCAAGTGTCATCCCAGTGATGTTGTATCATGTTCCTTTCCTCTGCCATGGCAGAATTAAGACAGCTTTGGAAAATACTCAGAGAACCTTAAGAAGAATTACAAAAAAAAGCAAACAGTGGTGGGAAAGTGCATTTAAACACAAGAAGAAATATGAGTATATGAGGAAATGAATGAAACTGAAATAAGCACCCATTTGTTCACTGAGGATAAAAAGCAAGGAATCAAAACCACCATGAAAGCTAAAAGTATCCTCAGACAGAAAGGAGGAGTCTTCAGCAGGAAATAGGAGGCAGAAAAAATCAAATGATGGGATCTGTTGTAATGAGGAAGAAGCAATAGAAAATTACATAACTGATGAAAATAAATAAATAAAAGAAATAAAAAGCTCCCTGTGGTAATGTCCTTGATTTATTTGTACAGACAGAATATTTTATGATCCTGATATGAACCCTGGGAAAAAAGTAATGCAAATAATCACCATGCAGAAAAAGCCTGGGGAATATATGAATCCCATAAACTGTGTTACAGTTAACTACTTTTGGGGCATCTGTTAAAATGAACTAATGCACTAAAGCTTTGAAAAAGTGCAGATTTGTTGTAAGGAATAATTACAGGGAGAAGTGTCGAAGTCCAGGAGACAGGAGAATTCAAGATCAACGGATTGACAACTGCTGATTTCAGACATCAGATCTGTAGTTAGAAAGATGTCCAAATGACTCAATAGTCAGAAATTCCTGGAGGTGTTGCTTGAACATTTTCCTGACTCATAACTGTATAATTGATTTGCACCTATTTGCAGAAGTTTTATTACTCTCATGTGCAAAGAATCCCATTGTTGGAAATATCTGAAAAACTTTTAAGCTTCACTGATGTAAAACTTTATCTAGGAAGCTGTAAGCAAGTTTTGATTACTTACTAATTCTTTTGATTATGATTGATTGCACTAACTGCTCAGTTAGGGATGACAGGCAGTTTTATAATGATGCCAAAGGAATGCCAACCATCTGACATGTGAAATGTTCAAATTAACAACACAACAATGTGATTTGCATGCAATAGGTAGGTTAGGGATCGCTGGTCAGAAGGGAGGCTGGGTACTTGCAACCTACTGTTTGATGTAATGCGTTTGTTGTTTAGAGCTGCCAAACATCTTTTCTTGTTTTTTTATATTATGAAGCTTTTAGCATAAGGTCTACCTTGGTCACTTGGTTGGCCTCTTGTCTTCCTTTATTTGATTAATGTGTGCATAGTCCCTAGCAGAGAAGGACCCCCATAATAACTAATAACCTTATAAATGCACACTGAGTTTCCAATTACTGTAGAAATGAGAGAGATGACTAAACTTGGCATTCTGTGCTCCTGATCATAATGTCTTTATCTCTGTACAGAGAAAGCTTGATTTCACAGAGAACTGAATGCTTAACTGGGAACAAAAGTAGATGCTGTCACTGTAGTCCTTCTGAGGACACTTTGCACTTTTTAGGCCAATTTTGAGCAGTAGAAGAGTTCTAATAATCACCCAGTAGAGTTTGAACAGGAAGCAGAAGTGTCTTATGAATTGAGGGTAGTTTTACTTAATAAGCTTTGGACAGCCTCCTTACACTCCTACATAGACCAAGAAGTACAAAGGGAGTACCAACAAGGCACGAGAACTTCACAGTTTTGGGTTTTTTGACTGAAGGATGGAGATGTCCTTACATCATTTAAGCAGCTGCTTCCAGCCCGTTCGAGGCCTTAAGCATCCAACTTATGTAGAGGTCCAAGAATTCTCCTTAAGCTGAGTATACGTGTTAAAACATGCAGTACAAGTTACCAATGTCTGGTTTGTTTGTTTGTTTGTTTTTCTCCCTTCCTTGCCAAATTTGATATATGTGGTCCTTGAGCACAAGTGCAGTAGATTTCCTTGGGATCACATTTGAGTGAAGATCAGGCTTATCTTGCAGACAAGACATGCATTTGGGGGATTTCATTCATTTCCTTGATCTGCCACTTTATTTATGTAACACAAAATGAGCACTTCATCCATGTTTATCTCAGTTTCTCACATGGAAAGTGAAAAGAAGTAAATATCGCACTATTCCCTTTAGATCATAAATTCTCCAGGAATAGAGACAGTCTCAAATAATACCTCCTTCTCGTGCCTACAGCTGTGGGTATAGATTGGTTTTGCATTCTCATTCCACTAGAAGACATGTTCTGTGAGCATCAGCACCATATTAAACATCTAATAATTTCTGAGGACTGAACTTTATGACTCAACTGGTCTCTTCCATTTATGTGTGGATTTTATTCTAGGTGTTAAGAGAAATGTCATGTGCCATTGAATCTAAAGGAGGCAGCTGTTTGTGTAAAGGCGACCTGTGTGTGTCATTTTTAATCATTCTTTTTCTCCTCCTTCTAGGGAATGTGACCAGGAATTGTACAAGCCAAGGCTGGACAGATGTGTACCCTGCACCGTACGCCCTAGCTTGTGGATATGATTCCAACAGCACACCAGAGGAAGAGGTAGGTAAACTTGGATGGATAGACAGCAAGAATTGTCAAGGATAGACAACAGAATCACATGATCTTCCCCTGCCCAATTTTTCTATTCCAACTGTGATTACTAGAAGCAGAGATTGAGTGTCCTTCTGGTCAGAGGGCCTTTGTACAATTTCAGGTGCTTGATTTTGCATATTCAAGTTTGAAATGTTAGTTCAAGACATCCCTTGAAATATTTACATATTTTGTAATGAAAAACGCAAACTCTCAAGGATGTAAATTAGTAATTAGTGACCTATGTGTAATCAACTTTAAAATATAGTAGCATATTGACATTTAAAATGGAAAGAAGATCACTACCTGGTAGCTGCATGCTGAGACATTAAAGGTTAATTCTAAAGAGGATAACAAAAGTGTTTTCTGAAAGCAAGGTTTGTCTCACCCAACTAACAATTCAGCATTTAATCCAAGCTCGTTGCCTACAGTTGTCCCACGGTTAACAAGAAAAAAAGCTCATGCCAGAATGCTGTTATATTTCATTATACATTTGTTTTAAATCCATGCCATGACATATGTTACTGAGTGTGAGTGCGGGGCATAGGCATCTTTATAATGCGCCCATATGCAGTGAAGGATCTTTGTGAATAGCTACCCATTGCAAGGGCACTCAAACAGTTAATGGAACATCTGAGCTGAATTTAGCCAGCATTAATAGTGAAGGAATACAGAAAATATCAAAGGAAAAATTGCACAAAGAATTTCAGGGATTTATTGACAGGAGAGCTTTGGTCTGCTTTGGAGGTCAGCAGCCACTTCACATCTTCAAGTGCACCACTTCTATGACCAAAATGTACAGTGCCATTTCTGCACTGTGAAGACCATTGTTATCAGTCCGCCAAGAGCTTGGGTTCATATTTTAGCTGCAGTGAAGGGATTTAGGAATTCCCGCTAATGCCTTGGTGACCCGAAGGACTGCAGCATTGCCAGAAAGCCTCGTTACCAAGAGAACACATACTGTGCTCCTTTAATTCTCTCTTAATTATTTTCTTTTTATTTCTGCACTTTTGTCATGCTGTTTAAGTCTACGTCTTTGTGTGAAAGGTGTCCGAGGAGAGTGAACATGCAGTACTAGCTTGCAAAGAATAGCTTTTCTTTTTGTTTCTCTTTATTTACTTTATTTTTCTTGAATTTGAATTGGCTGTCAGCTTGGGGATGAAGAAACAAGAGGAATAAAAAAAAAATTAAGGAGAACAGCAGGCTGTATAAAGCATGGGGTCCGGAACACACTGGTAATCATCCTTGCCTAAAATGCACTTTCAACATCTATTGGCCTCAAGTCAGAAACAGCCAAAGTATAAAAAATACGTAAGGGATGTGTGTAAGATTTTGTTCCTAAATTCTAGTGGTTCCTGGTGAGGCAGTTGGTGTAGGCAGCGATGTAATGCACCTATAGTGCTTGCAGTGATAATGATTCTTTGTCCACCCTGACTTAAGAACTGTGTGTTAAGAGACTGGAGCCTCTTTTACTACTATGATATGAGGAGGGATGCACAGCTTCCCCACCGTGTGCCTTTGATCAGAGCTGAGCCACCCTAGATATCCCCATAGGCTCCATCTAGAGGCAGTGAAAAGAAATATGCACCTCCACAGGTCAGTTCATCCCCTATTTCTCCCCAAAGAGAATTTGTGCTAGAGAGAGCCTGGATAAAATTTAGCCCCAGAGAGCTGAGGTGAAGTAGGTGAGATGAACTCCAAGCATTTTTGGGTGTAGGGCTGCACCAACGTCTGTTATCAGCATTTCTGGGAAGAAAAGCATAGCGGCTACTCAGCACAAATTAAGGAAATTTGTTCTCATTTGCTCTCAGTACAGCACCTACCTTAACTAGCTGTTCTTGCAACATGCCTGTGAAAATAAGCTGAGGCTTTTAGAAGTCACAAAGGGAACGATAAATATATCCAATTTCATTCATTATGTCAACAGTATGTCTAGGTTTAGAGCTAGAACATGCATCTTCACATCTCTAAATCCTTCTGTTTCTTCTAATATGAATATTTTAGTAACCTAAGCATTAAAAGAGAAATTCCAAATCTCTTTATGTTCTTGGATAAATTTCTTTACTTTCTCTACTTTGATTGTAAAACAGGAGGAGTAATCACCTTTAGCAAGCACAAATGAAGAGTGAGAATTGCAGGGAATTGCTTCTGGAATAAATCCAAGATCCTTCTCATCGTAACTTGCTTTTGGGATAAGAAGCAAGTGTCCCATAGCTCTGTTTCCACATGGCAGTTTCCACCTGCCAGCCCACTACTTATATCTCTGATGTTATATCTTTCTTTCTTTCCCTATATTATACCTTCTCTGCTCTGACAAACACGTGTAGGATGACCACAGGCTCTTTCCCTCTGCGTGGTCAGATATCTCCTTGCCAGCAAGGTAGAAATGACCACTGCAACCTTCACACGTCTACAATTTCCGTCTTGCTTTTAATGCTGCTCCAAACTGCTCTGTACAAATGATAGAGGATTACCTCTCACTTCTGCCTCGATGGTTCTGTAAAGTTCCTGCTACACAAAAAGCCGCAAGAGATACCCAAGAAGCAAATGACTTTTTTAAGCTGTTAATCAAAATATGCAAGTTTAGAGTGTTGCTGCAGAGTCTTACAAGAGCTGGACTTTAGGTTCCTTATTTCTCTATTTTCTTTAGACCATGTTTCTGTGTCAGATTAAAGTCCCATTATGCTCCGTGCTCAGAGACTCCATGTGCTCTCTTTCATGTCTAAGAAAGAAGTTATGAACCAACTTTCAAATCAACACATATTTGTGAATGAACATAAGTGTGCTTTCAGTGAGAACATTTTAGGATTGTTTTTTTTTTATCTTGCCAAAGTAAAATCTCTGACTTGCACAAAAGCAAAAAAATTTTTTACACTAATTCTGTCTTCAAACTTCATTAATAAAATCAGTTCATTGGAGTCAGTACTAGCTTAATTGGATATTAGTCACTCTTGTTTCACAAGATTATAACCATGCATCTGTCTAAATGACTGTCAAGTAAGCCTACTTCCTCTAGAAACCTTTCCCCATGAAAATCGTGACCTGATTATGGTGTGATCCAAGCTCTCCTGCAACCAATCACTTTTGTCTTATTCCTGGGCTCACTGAGAAAAATTAGGAAAAACTTAGTGATGCTGTATGCAGTGTTTGGTTGAGAAGGGGTATTGACAGCTTCTGTTTTGTTTCTCTGGTTCACATTAGCAAACAACATTCTACGGAACAGTCAAGACTGGCTACACCATTGGATATACCTTGTCACTCATTGCTCTCACAGCTGCTATGATCATTTTATGTCTCTTCAGGTAAGACCATTAATAAAAAAGACAAAGGCAAGGGAATGCCTCAGAAGACACGGTGGCTGTTTTAAACTCAGATAAATGGCTGCTTTGGTTATAGGCCATGAATGTGTGGGTACCAGAAAACTTCTGGCATATCTAAGGTTGAAAAGAAAAAAAGTTATTTTATCTGTTGGTGTCACTGTTCTTTTAATATATGAAGAGCAACCTTTGCATGAGAGGTACAGCAGTCTAGTTATGTAGAACAGAAAATATCTAGCTACATGTGTAGTTTTATTTGGTAAGTCTCTATATCTGAGGTAGTCGCCACATGTTCTCTCTATGGTCCACAGAGACTTGGTTAGTATGGTGCACATGGATTCTAGGAGTGATGCATTTCACTTGAAGCAAGTATTTAAAATGTGTCAGATAAATTACCCCTCACAACTACCTCCGAAAGTGCACTTCAGAAGTATCTCCTACTACAGCCCACATAAATCTATGGCAAGACATAAACTGTTTGTTCCATTTGAGACATGCTAGGACCACAATGATATCTGCACAGAATTGGCAGATATGAAGCAGAACCTTCAGGAGGCACAAGGCTTCATGGATTGTCAGGCAAATATTCTGCAGCACATCAAATGACATTAGATTTCTAGGTTCTGCCAACTAAATTAATCCTTAATCTCTATCACTTACAATGGATTCAGGCATCTGAATTTGGGTGTTTCCAACAAAGACACCTACATATGGAGTAATCTCTTATCATAATGTTGTTAAAATGTATAGAGAACAGCATAAAGCAAAACTTCAATGAGATGGAAGAATCTGCTAGCTCTGTATTCTGTCTCCTTACACCACTGTGCAGTGGTTTCCTTTAAGTATTTTTCTTGCTATGTCATTGCACATGCATTACGGCCTGGTCCAGAAATGGTTCCTCCACAGAAATGTAGGAAGCAGCATGTTCTAGAGTTACTCTCAAATTTATACCAAGGCTTCATGAGCCTTCCCAATCTTTGAGCAGAGATAATGACGTCCTTTAACACATCTCAGAGCATACATATTCTCCACTCCTTTCATAAGCAGAGGAGTGAATCAGACACATGATCGAATTATCTCAGCAAGGGTCAAGGTGCCAGCTAAACTCATGAAGCTGTCTGGGTTCACACTCTTCATCTGTGGCAAATAGTGTAATTCAGCTTGGCTTCACCTGCATGACCAGAGGACTCAACTTGGTCACATTATCTTGCCCATCATCAGAGATTAAAAGCACAAATTCTGCCAATGCACAGTGACTCATTAAGAGGTGGTAGTTTGATCATGCTGCTGATTGAGATCTGTTTTGGTTTTATGACTGTACAAAGTACCCATTTCCTGAGTATTAGGCTTTCTGCTCTTACCTGACATGAGCTTTCACTTGAAAAGTAGACTTTTTTGTTCAAATTGATCTTCAGAATATATTTGCAGATAAGAGAAAGAATAAGACTAGTGCTAGTCTTAATTTCTTTAATCCCTAGTAATTTAAAAATAACAATATAGTTCATATTGCTCCAGAACACATTTAGTATGTGTTAATTTTGGCAAGGCTTGCTAAGAATTTATTTCTCTTCCTGCAGAAATATTTCGCTTCTGAAAGAATTGTTACAGTACAAATGTTCTGTAGAATACAGATCTTTATTTGGAGAAAAGTCTACTCAGTCAAAAGTCTCTCTTTTTCAATGGAAAACAGTTTTCTATCATTCTATATTTTGACACACAGAATGCCATATTTTTTGTAGCTTTAAAAGGGCTTAAGTGGATCTTCAGTGAGTCATATCAGACTATAGGCAGTCTCAAAATTTCTGCTACTTAATTGAAACATGAGGAGAGAAACATGTAAGTAGATAAATAATGCTTTTGAATAGCCTTGTTATTCAGAAAAGTTGTTTCTTCCCTTTCTACAGAAAACTACACTGTACTCGAAACTATATTCACATGCATCTCTTCATGTCCTTCATAATGAGAGCTATCGCAGTCTTCATAAAAGATGTCATCCTTTTTGAGAGTGGAGAATCTGAACACTGCTTTGTGAGCTCAGTAAGTAGCCTTTCACATTGGACTTTCCACCTGGTCCTGTTTGCCCCTTGTAATTGATGCACCAAAACAATCTTGTAAGTGCCTATGAGACAGCATTTGAGGAAGACTTCAGGCTTTAGTCATTTGAGAAGAAGCAAAAACGCAATTGCCACTGTTTAGTTTGGGTGGAAAAGGCATAAAAAATAGAATAATGCTCAAAAGTTTGTAGGAATCTTCTCCTTTCTGAGATGTCCTACTAGCCCTGTGTCTATTTCCTAGCCCCATGCTGAGGTCTTTGATATCCTCATCAAAGGAAACTCAGCATTGTTTTCAGGGAAGTTCATCAGACGTCACCTGCGAGTGACAGTGGGAGTTAGCTCTAGATTCAGACAACTTCAGATTTTAACAAGCAAGTACTATACATAAGGTAAGTGTAAATTGCCGTAACCAGCAATAGAGATCTAATTAATACTCTCTGGGGGGTTTGGATAGGAGCCACCTGCACTTAATGAGCTTAATAGCTCTCTCCACCAATTGACCAGATCTCTGCAGGAGTTTAGACTGCTGGCTCATATATAGAAGTCTATATCTAAAAAGCAAAATATAATTTTTCATCTGGACCTGACTCCTATGATAACTGTGTAATAGATATCTCCACTGTGCTTTTAAAAGAGGGAGCAAAGGGAGTGGGATATTTTTCAGTTTACAGAAACAACTCACACTCGGCGTAATCAGTTGAAGTAAACATGAAGGCGGGAGAAGAGTTGTTGATCTAAAGGCCATATTGACGCAAGAAGACACTGGTCATGAATAAATTTAGGCAGGAAATTAAAATCCGGGAAACAGTGAGATGTGACCAGAAGTCAGGAAAAAAAAATCCGTAATGAATTTATAACATCAGAAGAGTTACTTGCTGGTAAAAGCAATTGGGAGGATGCAGCAGGGGACTGAACACAGAGGAGCAACGCAGTAGGGAAGCCAAGAACCCAGTGATCCATGGAGCATGTACTAACCTCTCACCCCGTGGGAGTTTCTACCAGGTCATGGCTGATAGCAGAAGACTGTGTGAAAAGCGTTTGCCGCCACTGTCCATGCTGAAATGCTTCTGTGTATAAACACAGGACTTTGTCCTGCAGAACTCCACAATGCCTGGAAGACTTCATCGTGCTTTCGGCCAGACCCATGGCTACCACTATTGTGTGCGCTTCTCCCCATTAGACGATTTTCATTTTCAATGCCAATTCATGGTGAATGGCAGGATGTTACGCAAGGATTATAAAAATACATGGAACAGATCTGACTCTGTTGCACTAGATTGAGCTTACCCGTTGCAAAATATGTAACCATCTTGACCCAGCATTTTGGACAACTTAGCCCATAGCAAAAAAGAACCTACCTGAAATGGAGTAAAAATGGCTTGCATAATTAAGTACTTGCAGAGAAAAACTTATTAAGACCTTTGTATTTAGGTTGAGTTTGGTTGAGTTATGTTGCCTTATGTTAGGTTAAATGATTGGGTTGTTTGTGTTTTGGATTTAGATTTTAACTTGGAAGACCTGGGTACTGCTAGTTCATGTGCTTGAGGTTGTGCATACAATTTTCTGAATGTTACTTGTTTCCATTGAAAATGGCAAGAATATGTATATGACCTTGATCTAATTCAGTCTGAGGACAGATTTGAACAGCCCAATTTACTGAATGTTTTCACCACGTACTGTTTTAGAATAGAGTTGAACCAAGGAAATGATGTTTTAATAAAAAAGAAAATACTTCACCTAATTATTCTGAGAAAAATAGGGACAAATGCACCCTCTTAGAATAGAACCGGGGCTAAAAAACCCAAGTGAATGGAGGCCTCTCCCTGAATTCCTGAAGAAAGGACCTAATTCCTGTGTTTGGCATTCGTGTTGCAGTAAGAGAATCTATTATGATGCTTCATACACCAGTCGCATAAAAAAAGATTTTATTTATCCACAAACACATATGTCAGTACTCCAGTCAAGTAGGAACTCCAATTCTTTTAAATGCATATGTATTTGAAAAAGGACAAACTTGTCTGTAGGCTTTGTTGCAGTTGCTTTTTTGGCTTCATTTTACCTAAATGCAATGTTAGCTCCGAATCAACTTTACTTCCTGTGAAAATGAATACAAGGTTCAGAGGACCAGAAGGAACAAGAATTTCTGGCCTCATAGCTACAGATTTCATCGGGGTGGGTGGGATTTTTCCTGCAGTTTCTCAGTGCTCTTTAACTTTTGTATAAAACAGGGAAACTGTCCCTGGAATTCGTAGCAGAGACTGTTGTATAATTTTATAATGCAACAAGAAGGCCATGTTTCAGAAAGGAACTAACTGAACATTAACATCTTGTACCACAAGAAGAGCCGGATGCCTGTTGAAGTCATATAAAGATGCGGGCACAACACAGCCCCTGGCTCATCCAACAGCATTTTAAAGGAGAGAAGGTCCCCCTGTACTCAGCGCTCTGCAGCAAGAAAGTGCTACGTGAGCCATCTGAGAAAGGCATTGAGTAGGAAATGTAAAAGTCATCCTTTTCCTGCAAGGTTTTTGAGTAGATACCTACTTCCACCTACAGAGAGAAGGGCAAGCTCTTGTTAGCAACGCATACTGGCATCTACTGAACTTTGGCTGACTGGCTCAGGGCAAGAGCCTGGCACAGCTCTGTCTAAAGACAATGGGAATTTTTCCCCTGACTTTAATTGGAGTTGAGTGAGGCCCTAAAATGTGTAAATATATCAACAAACACCTCTTCAGTAGCTCAGTCTGATACTGCGGAGTTGTACTCCATCCACAGAGTTCTTCAGGACCAGTTAGGCCTGAAGGAGGTGTGGAAGGGCACTGCAGTCTGTCCTTCCTTGGAAATGAAGCCCCCCATCCTCTTGTATGATCACATGAAGGACACCCTCGCTATTCCCTCCTGATAGATGACTTTGATAGATTGGTAGATCTGATAGACTGATTTTCATGCTAGTGAGCAGGATGAGAAGCTAAGGAAAAATCACATCTCATATGATCTGTAGAGGTCCCTTCCAACCTTAAATATTCTGTGAATCTGTGAATATAGAGCAGAGGTTGCTTTGCTATTCTGCTCCTGTCTTACTTGAACTACCTCAACTTGTCCATAAAATCCTGTGAAACTTGGCCAAACAGTTGATGTTAGCTTAGCAACAGGCATTCTGATGGACTGGCTTCTGGTCCTCTTTCTTGTTTTTTTAACAGCATTTGTTGTCTGCTTAGTGTTATGCAGAGAATCTCTGTGATTATATCACAAATGTAACAGATCCATCTCTCCATGATCCAATGTCAGCCCTTGGTCTGCATTTTCACTATCAGATTAGATTTAGAAATTTCCCTATGGCTTGCAGCTACTGAAGAATATTACTCTCTATTTGTTGATTTTCTCCTAATTCCTCCTCTCCTCATCCCATCCTTTTCTTTCACTAGTCATATCATTCAACCCTTGAGATCAGCTAGACCAACTAGTGCATTTTCTTTCAGGAGAATATCACCCCGACTAAGTTCTGACACAGTATCACATGGTTAGACTTGTATAAATTATCCCTTTATGATCTTCATTGCTCATGGGAATGACCCAAGAGTGAAAGAAGTTAACATCAGACTGCAAGACCTTTGGAGCAGGTGTTTTTCTTCAAATAAATGACCCTACCATGCTTGACAGAGCAATGCCCTAGCCATGGATTGGCACCTTAAAGTAATGTAGCACTGCCAGTAATAAGATCAGATGTGACAAGTGCAATGACATGCATTGCCCTGATCACCTTCTCCTTATGGTTACTGACTTGTGTTTAGCTTCCCTTATTACTGGGGTTACATTCGGAAGTCCCATTGTGATTTTCCAACCAATGAGCACAAAACAGGGAGAGTTACCCAATTTATCAAGGTAATTCTATTTTTATGACTCAGCTCTGAGCCATCTGACTCAGAGACTAGACCAGCTAGAGCTAATCACCATCTCAAAAATACTCACAAGACCATAAAAAAATCAAACTAGTATTCCTAACAGACAAAAATGGAAAGGCTCGAGCACTCAGAGGCAGTTAGTTATGTAACCCCTATTAAAGTCAGTGGAAGGGAAATGCTTAAATAGCCTTGAGAATTAAAGTCACAGGGCTTAAACTTGCTTCTTATGTGAGGTAGAGCAGACATAAAAGCTTCCTACTGAATTCAACAGATAGTGTTATCATTGAGGAAGCCTGTGTGGGAAGGCTTAAAGTGCGGTGACGTGGACCATATTTCTGGTTGGTGTAAATTGGTATATATCTGTTCATTTTAATAGAATTCAGCAGGTTTGTGTCAGCTGAGGACCTGACCCTGCCATGTTTTCCTGTGTTTGAGGCTCGTAAAGTAGAGGCTGTCATGTGTAACTTCCATATTAACAGAGAGATGGAGTTTTAAAAGTCTTGCTGTTTCCACCTGTCTTTCAGCTGCCATGAATGAGGTGAAAGCCTCAAGGAAATTCAAAGTTCTCTCATGAGACATTAGGATCCAAACTGGTTATTTTCTAGAGAGACATTGCTTTGTTCACGTTCATAGTTGGCACCAGTTCCTTATATAGGTAAGTGTATCAGGACTAAAGGCAGAAGAAAAAAAAAAAACAGAATTTGAGACCAGTATCTTCTTCCTGATGTCTCCATCTTTCCATGTTAGAATGGGAGTGGGCAAGATTTAGCTTCCTTATGCCATGTGTGCCTGCTTGCGTATGCTTGTACAACATATCTATCTCATTTGTCTAGAAATAATATTTATGCTTTGTGAAAGCGATAACAGATCTAAAAGCTCAGTCAATAAATCCAAGTTGTAATGGCTTAATAAAATGCCCTGTGACAGCTGATGTAGGGTAAGTATTCCAGTATGTTCTCTTAGGCAATGAAGGTGCGTGACAGGATGCTGCATCAAGACCTGGAGAAAAGAGGGTTAAGATAAATGGAATTAATTTGCTATTGCAAAGACTTAAGAGCATCTTTTCATTTTGCTTCTGGGG